GCAGAGCCCCCGGGTGAGAAGGACCTCTAAGTTCAAACAATTTGAACTACATGTACGCCATGTGTAGTCATTAAAGTATTGAGTAGAAGACTTGGCGTCACCATTAAACAGTTTGTTAGTTAATATCAATTATGATGTTTGGCTTGTTCTTAAATATGTAATTATTAGTAGTCCTTGGGCATCAGAACTCCTGAACGGCTTTAAGTAACTCTTCGTTTTGAGGCAGTCGATAGAAGATGTTTGTGCGTGTACTCATCGGTGCAGCTGTCAGCGTTACAATACTGAGAAACGTACAGGGTGAGTATTTCACATTTAATTTGCTTGTGAATACGTTCTCTTTTTTAATTGTGATGATGTCATTAATATTCCCTGAAACCTAGGTACTTGGTTTCAAGCTCACTCGAACGAGGTTCATCACAATAAAACCATCAAATACTTGAGGGGTTAAAATTTCTTGTATCGTATTTATATAACTAAAACATTTTCTAATCAGGAACCTGTTTCTGGACCTCGTTTCACAACAGTACCCAGTTACAAATGTACTTGTTTTTATTTTGTTCTGTCATTTTATGAGTAGGACACAGTCAGGTAAGGTGTCTCAATTCAAAGTGAATAGCTGTGTCCCTCAGCCATCTTGTGAACTTGTAATTCAGGGCTGGTGTCTTGGTGAGTCGCAAAATGACGTTCACAGTAGGAGCGTATGCGTATTTTACTTTGTATTTTATTTTTGAATTTTATGTATATCATTTAGTTTTAATTCATTATATATTTATTTATTATTCAGTATTTATTTATATTTCAAGTATTTTAGTTATAAAATGGGCATTTTATAGCTAAGATCTATTATTTTCGTAATTGTACCCACTTTATCAGGTATTACGAATCTCAATAATGATTCCGGTAAATGCGATGTAGATCACAAACTTTTCAGTGACATAGAGTGTGGCGACTCTGAACTTACTGATAACTGACAATTGACCATACGTTGACCTTCCATATGTTCACACCGTATTTGTCAGATTTGCAAATGTCCTCCAGGTGGTAACCTTAAAACCTTTTGAAAGCTTTATTGTGGCCTTGAAGTTGTGACCTTGATCACACAACTTCTGAGCGAGAGTCGTATGATGCTCTTTGAAATGTTGGTAGAAAGAGCATACCCGATTGTAACTAAAAACATTTGGCAATGTTAACACCAATGAATTATTGCTCGACATGAAGGGAAAGCTGACTGTTAGAAAGTTCAAGTCATCTCTTTCAAAATGTCATGCTTCAATCCCAAGTACGAAGTTGTCCCACTTTCCTCGGTGCCTAAGGTTTGGTACCTCCCAATCTGTTGACTGACTTTGGGAGAGTATCCGTGTTTGCTGTCAGGGTGTCAGCCCTTCTGACAACTAGGGCAATCCAGAAGGCTGCAGTGTTGGGGAATCTTTACAGTCGACAAGGCCGCGCCTCCCATTCGCTGTCTTGGCTGCCTGTGGAGAGAGCAAGAGCCCTGAGCTGATGATAATTCTAACCAGCCTAACTGTGCCCGAATAACCCAAACCCTCTTGCTGCATTTATATATATATTTAATCTGTAAATAATAATCAAAAGAAATTCAGGGTAGAATCCTGTCAGACAATAGATCCGACCACTCTCGCTCTTCCCTCAACCCCTCAATTTACCAATTACAATAGGAGGGCTTTGTTTGATTAAGGTTCATCATGATAGAATTGTAGTGTGCACCTTTGAACATATTTATTTGTCTGATGTTCCTCTTGTGAAGCATGCCAAGAAGCATGTCAATGTTGATTTTGTTGATGGGTCTGTACTGCTTGCCAGTACAGAAAGGTGTGTCAACCAAGCGAATCTGTAATGACCGTTGACGTAAATATAAAATTCTCGAACTGACGAGCTCTTCCACCTTATTTCCTGCTTTCTTACTTTGTTTGTTTAATGCCGCGCTAAGCAATATTCCAGCTATGTGACGGCGGTCTGTAAATAATCGAGCCTGGACCAGACAATTTGGGTACGATGACATGCATCACCCAAGTCAGCAATCCTGACCACCCGATCCCTTTGGTCGCCTCTTACGACATGCATAGTCGCCATTTAGGGCAAGCATGGGTTACTGAAGACCTATTCTACCCCAGATATTCACGGGTCTCTTACTTTAAGTGGCAAAGGACCTTATAAACATAGCACACCACTAAAATTGGTAGTTTAGTATGTTAATAGATCACAGTATATTATCCTATCAGTGTGTCATTATCCATGATCCCACGAAGCATACGTAGGATTTATATTAGAAGTTTTTTTTATATTAATGTGCTTCAAGTTAATCACGTGACTCGAAACATTCCTTAAGTACATTGTTCTGTGTTCTGTCAGCTGGTTATGAGTTGAAGTTTTTTCTGTTGTAAAATTTGCCACCACTATTGTTAAGAGACTGCATCAACTGCAAGCCATGAAATAGTGTGCTTGTCGAGTTGGTTGCAGTAACTGACGTGAATCGGCGGCCTGGGGTGTGATTGGCATTGCCGTGGGACGAGCATGGCTGAGAAGGGCAACAGCGGTCGTTTTGTATGTCTGCAGTATGTTGCTAAATGTCCTACACTGAACGACATGCGGTTATGAAACATGTCACGGATTGAGAAGGGCAACAACGGTCGTTTTGTATGTCTGCAGTATGTTGCTAAATGCCCTACACTGAACAACATGTGGTTATGAAACATGTCACGGATTGAGAAGTGCAACAACGGTCGTTTTGTATTTCTGCAGTATGTTGCTTAATGCCCTACACTGAACAACATGTGGTTATGAAACATGTCACGGATTGAGAAGTGCAACAACGGTCGTTTTGAATGTCTGCAGTATGTTGCTTAATGCCCTACACTGAACAACATGTGGTTATGAAACATTTCACAGAGTGCTCATCCCTGTGTCCAGAGACAGACATAATTCCTGGGGCACCAACTTTGTGGCTGCTGTGGCACCCTGCACGGTCAAAGAGGTTTGAATATGTTTGGGGAAACACCGCTGTATGAGATATGATTGATATCATTTGCAATATTTCTCTCTAGGTAATAATATTCAAAGATTACTATTTCTAAAGACATTATTTCACCGATAATTGATGTGGATGCACTATCTTGCTTGGCAGTAATGAAAGGACGATGTGACCGAGGATACGTTAGATCACGGGGAAGGCAATTATGACGTAACTCAAAAAGTGTACGTTATCGCAGGATAAAGTATAGTCGGCGTCTGTGATCTTTTAGCGAAGCATCTTAGAATCTGTAAGTCATTGAGGTCCTGTCAGGCAACAGGTATCATCTTTGTCACGTCTACTCACAACGCTTTTATTAATTGGAATTCCTTTCTGGATGATAAAATATCATGTTAAAGAGGTAGGCATTATTATTGATCGAATGCCATATATCTAGATCGTTTGAATGGTCATGGTATCGATCTTTTAGTGTTAGTGCAGTCATGGTGTTATCAGCTACTAATGTTCCAGTAGTTGCTCCTATTGTTCACAAACATCAATCGTGCTGCATTTTGTTTCTTCTGAATAATTTATTAATCATCCTCCACAAACATTAATCGTGTTGACAGCTCGCACCTTAGGCCTCGGTAAATCTAACATTTATTTCAATTTCAATGCGTCTTCCCTGATAATCATTCAGTTGGAGTTGAAGACCTGGGAAGCTTGGTCCTAGAACTTTTATGACCGAGAACCCCTAAAAACTCAGTGAATGGTCCATTAACTAATATACACCCGATAAACATCAAACAGGAACAACTGATAAAGCTGTAACGTGTTCAGAATGCAGCGGCGAGAATTATTGATGGATATAAGAAATGATTCCACTGTACACCAGTCTTGGCATAACATGATGGATTTAGAATTCGATCAACATATTTATTCAATCATGATGTATACAAAATGTACCTCCTTTTGACATTGTGATTTCCAAAACGTCCTGTCCAAACTGAAATCGGACAGACGGGCGTAGAACGGAGCCCAAACGTATATGTCCTATACGTTGTATATTTGTTCGTCTTGGAGTTCCTGTTCAAAAGTTAAATCGAAACGCGATACTATTAATAATGTGTTTGTCATTAAGAACTCAGTTTATTGCCATCGGTTCTGTAACATAAAAGGATCACTGCACTTAAAGTAGGACAATCATCATCGAATGCGTGTGTTATTGATGCGATATTTCTGCATGGAGAACGCTCGGTTGACGAAGGTCGGGTGTTGTTCGTGAATATGTTTTTAAATAAAATAATTAAGGTTCGGTAATTGATGAACAATTCGGCATTGAATTTGAACAGACAAATGGAAAATATATTTTGATGATTGATTTGTTCTGTGGAATCGGAATGAAGACGATTTACAGTGTTTGGTGGATATTTTACAGATACTCTATCCAAGTTTAACTTTACTTAAGAGATGAGCGATAAAAATCTATCGTGTCTAGATGTAATGGTTACAAGATCAAACAATAATATTGAAATAGATGCACTTTATATTGGAAACCAACCGATTACATTAGCTCATAATCGAAATCAATATGCAGTGTCCTTCAAGACGTGTCACAGTCGTTCCGATGCTTAATAAGCTTTTTAAGTACTTCGAAATGTATCTAAATCGAGATAAAAACATGGAGTGTCTAGATAAGAATATTGGTTCCCAACTACCTGTGTTTTCGCAAGTGGCGACAAAATGGACAGCGCAGTTAGGCTCGTCGACCTAGCCATCCAAACCTAAATCCCACCCCTGATGTAATGGCCGACTGCAACAGAACAGAATGTGTCCAATTGATGTTGGAGACAGAAAGGACTGTTTGCTGGGCACTCGCAATTTTATTGTATTCTGTTCAAAGCAGACATGTAATTTGAAACATACAGCTGGTAGTGTTTCATGAATTATACATTCTGATATCGAACACACCGTTTCTTGGATTGGCTTCCCAGGCTTGTGTTCTATTGTTCCTTGCCTTGTTTCGTGGACAAATGCACCTGATAGTCTTGAAATATGTATGCTGAGCGGCAGGAAAACTTCGGCTTTGTATCGCCTCTCAGCAGATATCAGGTTCCAATGCTGGATCACCTGGGCTTAACAGGCATCGTTCTCACTGGCTTTGTGGATGCTGAAGACAAGATGTCGCTTCATGTACTCGCCAGTCTGACATTCTGTCTTAGTGTTTCGAGACTGCAGTACACACATGGTGAGTATTGTTCTGTTTGGGGGTGTACAAAAACAAAATGTTTTTCTTTGAAAATTAAATAGCCATTCGTATCACATTACTGGGATTTAATTATGGTTAATTAATTAGGAATGTTAGCTTTGATCACGAGTTCGTTGTTCCTGCTTATGATGTGTTAGTGAATTGAGTAATATATTTCCTCATAGGCATTTAGTCCGAAAGAAATCCAGCATCTGAACAAAATGCAACTAAAACTTACTATCAGCTTCTTGAGGTGACTGATTACCCGATACATATAAAAAATACTGAATGGGCTATACGTGTAATACCAATGTTGTAAAACGGGTGAATACCTCTTGTGTCTGACGAGTGAAATTGGCATTACACGGATACGAGTTTATCTATAACGTTTATAAGTTTTTAAAACATGATTTTCCGTCATAATGTATGAATACAATATTACATATCTACATCAGACAGACAGACAGATAGATATTTTTATTCATGAAAAAGACTTGGGCTTCAGCCCACCGTCTAGCAGATACAACCAAATTATATATTCACAATGGAGGGTGGACACGATTTCATATTTACCGTGAGCAGGATTTAATATATTTAGAAATGTATAACAGTTGTGTTTTACAACTTGTTTGTAGCAGGCTAACTAGTTTTAATTCAGATGGCATTTCCCAATAGTATTTATGTATATATCTTACTCTGATATCTTTATATTTGGGACATATTAATCGAAAATGATTCTCATCTTCAAGTACGTTAACTCTTCTAGCTTGACAATAATCACAATATCTAAGAGCTTTGATAATGTTGTGATATCGTCCAACTTCTATTTTTAACTTATGACTCGATATTCTAATCATTGTTACATATTTTCGTAGACCCTGTGGTAAAATATTGAGATATAGCTCATAACCAAAGGTTTCTTTAAGATTTCTGTATAACATCAACTTTATACTATTATTTAGGTCTGAGTTCCATTTTTGTATATAATTATCAATAAGTCTTTGTTTAAACAAAGAGACAAATAACATAGGATTTATGGACCAAGGATGTAACCACACATATGTAAAACCATTTGTACACAACATATCTTTTACATACCGTGCCCAATTTTTCACACCTTTATCACAATGCTGCAAACAAATATCACATGCCACCTGTAATATACAATTACAAGTATTATTTGATTTAAACCGGTACTTCAAAATTCTACAAAATCTATTGATGTAAATAGGATACAGACCTAGTTCTCCATCTTCTGCAATATTACATGCCTTTGAATGTACATTTAATTCTTTCTTACAGAATTAAAGATGCACCCGTTCAATATCAGGTGCGTTTACCGTACACCATACCTCACAACCATAGCACATCGTAGATGTAACGAAAGAATCAAATTATTGGAGTAGTTCCTTGGGTGTAAAATTATAGTTTCTAATATTTGATAACAATACACTCATAGCTTTTAAGCCTTTCCCAGCTAATGTTTTGTAACACAACGAAAATGATCCAGTACTTGTAAAGACGTTTTCTAAGTAGCAAAACTGTTTTACCACTTCAAGCTGTTCATCATTTAAAAACCATTCTTCATTTTGTTGTAAATTCCCTCTTTCCCTAAATACCATTACCTTCGTTTTATCGACGTTTATGTGTAATCCCCATTCTTTACAGTAATTTTGTAAGCTATTTATTAACATTTGGAGCCCATTTGGTGTTTCAGATAAGATAACCATATCATCAGCAAGTAATATCATAAATAGGTTAACATGATTAATCAACAATCCTGCATCTATATTTTCTTGGAGTTTGAGTTCAAGGTCTTCCAAGCAGAGAAAAGAGCATAGGCGACATCACCTCCCCTTGTTTAATCATTGTACAATCCAATCGAGCTCAACAGAAAAAATACTTTAAAATACAGTAAAAGTTGACGCGTATGAAGTCAATACCATACAACGGCGTACCTGTAGTATTTAGCACCACAAGCGTTACAAACACGTCACAATACCCAATGACGTAATTAGTGAAATGTTGTTGCAAGATACACTGGCGAAGCAATGCCGTGTGACGTCAGCCTAGCAAGCGAGTTGCTGTGGTTTAAGAGTATGCATAAGATCGTCTCAGTGATCTGTCATCTCTCCACTAAATTTCATTGAATAAGCTAAGCGTTGTTGAGATTTTTAAATGCGTGTTAGTGACGACAGAGCGTAAGCCCGGGCTTTGCCATTAAACACTGTGTAATACCTGCCTATTGTTATCAATCAGTAATAACATATTTCCTAATTAATAACTGCAACTTGACTGAGTTCAATGCACCTGAAGAGACAATGGACAAAAAGAAAACTTAAAATCGATAAAATAATTAAAATATATGTCAGAATTCTCTTCGTAGCGATACAGGAATCCTCCATATGATGGATACACAATGTATTTAGAAAGTGGTCACATCCACAAATGTCATATGTGGAATAAAACTGTTTTAGTAAAGTATAAATTCTAGTATTTTTGGGGTTGAGCCCCATCCGGGATTCGAACCCACATTCTCAGAGTGAGGCACCTCACCTAACCGCCAGCACACAAAGTACCCACTAAGCCACCGATCGCGAGGGGTCCACAAACATGAAAGTCCAACAATTGGTCGGTCTAGGTTACTTACGTTGTGTACCCCTCTGACCCTCTGAGTGAGTGAGTATGATTTTACGCCGCATTTAGCAATATTCCAGCAATATCACGGCGGAGGAAACCAGAAATGGGCTTCACACATTGTACCCATGTCGGGAATCGAACCCGGGTCTTCGGCGTGACGAGCGAACGCTTAAACCACTAGGCTACCCGACCGCCCCTCTGACCCTCTGAAAAGTGTAAATTGGCACGGCTCCCATGGCCGAAAGCTATGAATACACCATGTCAGTTAGAAAGTGATAAAATGTAACAAATGTTATATATATACATACATATACAGTAAAGTTCACATTGTAGGACTTTTTAGTCCCATCCGGGATTCGAACCCTAACTCTTTCCATATTTGAACCACATCGAACATTTATGGGGTGATAGACAGACACTGACACAGCTGCGAGTTGCACTATGACCAGGCAACTGTATAAAAACATCTTTGGAACCATCTAAAAACTAATATATTTTGACCAGTGTAAGTGGCCCACCAGTCGCTATGGTCCTATTCCTTGCTTCATTGTTTCCACGGGCAGGGGATGTTAGGCAGTACTTGACACCGACGGTCCTCTTGCACAAAGCGATCTTAGCGCTACAATTATTGTAAATCCTTAAGATCACGATCTTAGGCTCAGGCTGCAATCGTCATCCACTTGCACGAAGCGATTGTAGGCTAAGATCATTGTAAGCTACAATCGAAACTTACAATTGGTCCGGACCAATCTTAAGTAACTCAGATCGTTGTAGTCCCTGTATATACTTGACAAAATGGCGTGCAAGGCTTGGTCTGTTTCACATAAATATTCTGCTTTATATTCAAACATATTTATTTTGTTAACCTTTATAATTCGAATCAACACTTTAACTTTAAGTTTAACAACATGAAGAACGCACTACATATTTAACGTCATAAATATCGTTAATTACCATAGTTAAACACGTTACTATTGAGTCGATAGCTAAAAAGAATATCCCCATCTGCCTCACCAATGAAAGAAACGTGAAACAACATACCTTTTCGCTAAACAAGGGAAGGATAAAAACCTAAGTCGTCCCGCAAGTGATTTGTAACGTCCGTGAATTTTTCGATAAATCAAGGGCAGCTAATCTTAGTTTATACTCTGATGGGAGTGGTTTCCCTTTGTATAAGCCCGTAGAGTAAAATCTTCCTTACCCAGTGTATCAATGTTGTTGAATCACTGAGCTCCCCTTATATTTCTTTTGGGTCACATCCGTGTCAGTTATTTTGTCTTTAGTTTATCATTAATTTAATCTAGCTGAAGAGCAAATCATACATGTTTAAATCTAAATTCAAACGGGACGGGGACGAGCGGTTAAATATCAGACTTTCAAAGAAAACAAATACAAGTATTCATCAAACAAATATAATGATGAAACGTTTGAATATTTTGCAAAGTATCCCATAAATAGCAAAAATAAAATTCACATTTAAAAGAAATACAAATTAATACCCAGTGGATATATATAAACAATTGCTTTCTCGAAACATTATTCATTGTTCTTATTTCCCGTCTGTGCGTTTTTGAAAGTTTTGAAATGGTAGTCGTAACATCCTTTGTTGTAGCAACGAAACGAAAACATGAAGGATATATTTAGGATTTTACGAAAAGCTCGCCCTTAGATTATGATGATCATGCATTTACACGTTATGGTTTTATTATTTATTATCATTTTCATAATAATTGTGTCACTAAATATTGTATTTATTCGTATTTAAATACTTGGAATAAAAACATGAGTAGGTATTTCTCTTGTTAAAATAGAAAACAATTCCTTAACCATGACACTATAAATGCCAACAAGAATATATGCCTTCAATAATTGGGACCTTTCTTGAAACTGTGCAAAGTGCGTTGGAGGGAGGTACGTGTTGCGTGTCGTTACCGGTTCCACTTGTTGTATGCGCAGCAAACTATGCGCGTTTGCAGACAACTGTAGACAGGAGTCGAGTTTAGAATATTCGTACCTCCACCGTTGAAGATGTCCATCTAAGGTAAGATCGCGAGCTTAACTCCAAGCCGTCTTACAATCGCGCTAAGATCGGTTTGTGTGAGTGGAATAGGACAATTAAATGTTGATTGTAGCCGCCTAAGATCGATTGTAATTAAGATTGTTCTGTGCAAGTGTGCCCAGATGTCCTTGGTCTTTGACTTTTGACATGTGAGGTGAGGTGAAATTGGGTTTACGTAGCGTCAAATAAAGCGACGTGCATGCAGATCTGTGTGTATGTGTGTGTGGCTGCTTATACTAGTCCGGACTGATGCCGATTTATAGTGCTAGCACATTGAGATACCATGCCGCAGATTAGCATGAATACCCTACTCAGACACAGTATACTGACTCCGAGCCGACCAGTTCTTGTTTTAGCCCCTTTATGCCGAATACGAGACAGGATAACAGCAAGTACCATCTTTTAACGTCTTTTAGTATGATCGAACCCCGGGCGGACGCTCTACCACTAGACCACGGAGGCGGTCCTTTTCACATGTTATATCCAGATCAGCTTCATGTGTCAACTGTGACAGTGTGTGTAAACATCCAGCTGCTTTCTGTTAATCACTTAATTGATTCAAACGTGCTTTAAATGGTATTCATAATAATAGTTCCATTTACAATGGGCAAGATTCCATTCACCAAGTGAATGATAAGGCTCTACATTAACACTATCTAATCAATGGACCAGTGTGCATTCGATTTTAATTCTCAGCTTCCTGGGGTGTTTACAACCCATGTTGTTTGTGATACCGTATCATACTACCGGGTACCCATTCCCTGCTGGGTGAACAGAGGCATATGTCGAGCAAAGTCACTTGCCTAAAGAGACATTGCAGGTGCTGCACGTGCTTCAGTGGCGAACTGAGAAGTCCAAGAAACTCTCAGGAGTCAAGCTGCCAAAAGCGATAACCACGACCAACGTTGCTTAAGTTCACCTGATTTGTGACCTGTGTGCTGTACACAGGACCAGGTATTTTTCATGGGTCATGACAACATCTCCAAAATATTACTTATTTGTAAAATTGGTAAAGGATAAACGCCAGATAAATCGTCTCCATTATACGATGACAGATTCCATTGAGCGTAAACGCAAATCATGTCTCAGCTTCCCGGATCAAATAGATCACAAGAAGGCAATGCAAACGATCAGTCGTGAAACACGTACGATTCGGAAAAACGCACCCAGGGCATTAACAAAAGGGTCATGGAGCTGCACGTATTGCACGTGCAGCAGCACTTTGAACGGTATTGAAGTGCAAGCTTTTTGATTGCCTGGCATCTGCGTCAATCGAACAGTGACAGTTCAACAACATGGCAAGATTAACAGAAGTGCAAAGAACCAACGTCATTGGCCACTTGAAGGCAGGGGAATCCCGATCAGCTGTAGCCGGGGTTTTCGATGTAGCGCCCAGCACCATCACAAGGCTGTGGGATCAGTTGTAACAGTATCGGTCAATACGTGATCGGCCAAGGTCGGGACGACCAAGAATAACCACCCCGCCCCGCTACATCCGTCTGCGCCACCTACGTGAAAGAACGACCACAGCCACCTCAACTGTATCCTAAATAATCGGACTGCGCAGGCATCTCTGACCAGACCGTACGAAACCGTTTAAAAACAGCAGGTCTACGAGTAAGACGTCCTGTTCGACGCGTCATATTGAGTCGATAACGTCGTGAACAACGACTGCATTGGTGTCGTCAACACAGGGTATAGCGATGGAGAGAGGGAGAGATGTCTGGTTCAGCGACGAATCAAGATTTCTTCTCCGTCGAGGGGATGGAAGAGCACGGGTCTGAGAACGGGTCGGGGAGAACGTTACGCCGGAAACTGGGTACAGGACAGAAAGTGGACAGGTTTGGTAGAGGTAGCGTTATGATGTAGGCGGGACAGGCTTGGTCAATATTCAGGGCAATCTTAGGGCTCAACGATACAACAAACGAAATTCTCCTACCACACGTCCCTCCAATTGCAGCCATCGGCAACGGTGTATTCCAGCAGGACAACGCTCGACCGCATACAGCACGGATCACAAGAGCCTGTTTACACAACAACAACGTTGATGTTCGCCCCTGGCCCCCCAGACCCCGGTTTTGAACCCGATGGAGCACCTGTTGGATGAATTGTATAGACGGCTACGCCGACGTCAACCACAGCCCCAGACGTTGCAGGAGTTGGCTTCCATTCCCTAGGATGTGATTCGCATACTTGTCTCTTCCATGGGCAGGAGATGTGAGGCCGACACCTTGGACATTACCTATGTACCGATAACTGAGATGACTACAATCACCAAGTGTTCTCTCGACACAACATTTTGGCTCAATACCTTGTACGGTTCCTCGTATAAATGTATTTTCGTACCCTCACACAAATCTCGCTGTGCGTTTTTTGAAAGAGTATATATCTGGTGTAATAAACTCAAAAGGTTCCTCAAAGTCACATCTCGAGTTCGTTATTCACATAACCAGTGACATATACTCGCTGTACCACACAAGAGTTTTACATTATTGTTCGTTATTGCTGAGTATTCGTTAGGTCAGTTTTATATAAATTTAACTGCTCATCATGATCAGTCTCTCGAAATTGAAAACGATCATTTTATTTCTCTTGCCGATAGTTTTAGTCTCTACCTTTCCTTGTAGGTGAAAGCATTGCGTTTGGCAAACTTGCCAAACAAAGGAATAATTATCCTGGATATCCTGCGAGCCGGGCCATCAATCCAGTCTACTGGAGAACAGGGTCGTTAACACACTATGGCAACCCATCCTGGTGGGAGGTGGACCTGAGGGGCTACTACAGTATCAGCAACATCACCCTCACAGCAGCAGACAATGGATGGAGTAAGGAACCGACAAGTTGATATTCTTGAGAGTTGGCGGGGATTTTTGTCAGGGACAGAATACTTTTTCGGTGGATATTTCAAAACCACCATTCACGTCATAACATGAGGAAGCGATATTCCTTCAAAGCGTTTTCTATCTGGTCATCCAAAATTTCCATCGAACATTTTTTCACACCACACACCACTACATATCACTAACTACACCATCACACATCACACATCACAGACGCCACACCAACACACATCACATCACACCACACCATCACAGAACAAATCTACACACATATCACACACCGCCACAAAACACACCACATGGTCATACAACACACAACACACCACCACATACCAATAACTACACCATCACACATCACACACAGCACACCATCGCACCACACTACCACACAGACTAAATTAACACACATTACACACCACCACTAAAAGCACACCACACCGTCATACAACGCAACACAACACAACACCACACACAACACATACCACAAAACACACTTCAACACCACCATATACCTCACTACACACCACAACTCAAAAACACACACACATTCACAATAACTTTCAAGAATATCAAATGGTTGGCTTCGTTGTCATCTCTCTCTTTCAGTATCAAAATATTCACTCGGTTAATGACTCAAAACACTTTTTCAGTTTGCATACAATGCCATAGCCATAGTACACTAGTATATCCCCCAGTGTATCGGTGTCAAATTTGTGAATATGGTGTCATTGCATTGAAGTTTACAAGTAAAATAACATAAGCCATAGGCTCAATATCCTAATTGTAAGAGAACATGGGTGGCCAGTCGTCTATGCTTCCCTTGGACAGCTAAGAAACCTATGATCTGATCGTTGGTTCTTATCCTGGATCACCCCGATTATCTTTCCAGGTTTGTCAGCACCATACCCGAGCTCTTGGGTTTGCCAAAAGTGATAAGCGTCTAAGACCTGTATAGTTTGGGCTTTACCCCCACATTAAGCTGACGTGGTGTGATATATCTAGAAAAAGAAAACAGCGTTACAACTATCCCCAGACATGGGGCACATTAGAAATTTGTTTGTTCATATGGTAGTGAATAAGAAGAGATAGGCACATGGACCACGTTATGTCATCACTGAGAAAACATGTCCCCATTGCAGACACAATGTATGCACCAAGTAAAATAACATGGAACAAGGGCCTTACAGAATCATATACGGCACCAATTTTCGAACTCAGTCATGACAAGTACCCTTCAAATAACCTTGCAATGTTTCATTTATGGAAGATTAGTAGTTTCTGACTATTTCACACAGTATGCACGGAGTTGAAAGAGAAACGGACGGACGGACGGACGGACGAACTCCCTTCCTATATATAATAATGTTCAATGTTTTAAGTTGACTAAAAAGTGGATTTGTGTCATTTGAATTTTGCAGATATGCACATGGCAAATGCCTACGTGGAAGTTATGGACAAAGATATCAGCCTCTGCTCTGATGTCCAGGTGGAGTGGTGTGGGAATGTGTCCAGCACCGTTGCCAGTGGGGAGAAGTTCACCTTCACCTGCAATGCTACATTTCCCATCCGCTTCGTCCGTGTCACAAGACGATCTACAGGAAATGTTCTTTTGAGTATCGGCCAAGTTGATGTTCAAGGTGTCGGGGCTACAAAGCGATACCGTGAGTATGCTGCTTGTAGATTGAGAGCGTAGCCCTGTTGCCTTCACAATTTGCACACATTTACAACACACTACGTGACCAGAATTCACGATGCTAAGCACAGCATTCCCAGAGTGGCATTGTTTTGCTATGCTAAAGTATTCTGATCTAACAGCTCCAACCTGGTTCTTCCTTGATTCTCAAGTGATCTCAGTTTTATACTCAATGTAAACCTACATTTCTCTGGAGAATGTTCAATATCCCATCCTACATTCTTGATCTACTCACATGCTTCAATTTTCAAAAGCACGACTTCACTGAGAGCCACAATCAACCACCGTGCTTGTTGCTAACCATGGGCTCTTGTCCACCAGTTCAGTTTGTAATCATAAATGTCATTTCATTTAATGATGTCAATGGAAACCCGTTTTATCAAATTCCTTAAAATCAGATCTTAGTTTTCGCTACCGCTAAACAAAGATCTGAGGACATCCCTTTACGGGTGACGTCAGAACGACCTATCGCGAATTTTGACCGACCAGTGAAATGACCGACAAGAAATCGTCAATAGCCAATCAGAAGGCAACTTTCTCGAGCTTTACGACACTAGTTTCAAACTGGCGACCACGCTTCGAAACATATTTTGACGTATTCTCGATTAAAATAAATTAAAACTGATAAGAAAATAGTCTGGAAAGGCTTATGGATGGCCTAGATTGTATGGATATAATCATAAAACCCGTAACTGTCGTTCGGAATACCTCGTGTTAAGTATTTCGTGGTTGCATGATTAGAAAACACATTCCGACTGTCACTTTCATGATCTGGAAAGCGACGCTCTGGTTGGTTGGATGAAAGGTCGTTCTGACGTGACCCTAAATGGGATGTCCTCAGATCTTTGTTTAGCGACAGCGAGAACTAAGATCTCATTTTAATGAGATTGCCGTTTTATCAGACTTATCTACAAACTTAGTTTTGGTCGCATAAGGCTTTCATGACTACACTCAAGCAGCCAATCGTGATGTGAACCATGTGCAATAATTATTATTCAGTCAAAGCAGACATTTATAAACCAAGGATAATAATTATATACAATGAAGTAACCATACAACACTGGTTCTACCCTCTTTGTACAACACAAACGGTAATATTACAAATCAGAATGATAATAAATGCAGATAGGGGGTTATACGGTGAGCACAATTTCTAACCCTCGCCTCCATCTTCTCGCTAGGTTCCTACTACACACCCACAACAAACAGGAAGGTGTCGATCCCATCCTTCACTACATCAGCCGTAACAGCTGGCGATTGCGGCATCCTTTGTCACCAAAACCATTCATGTATCGACTTCAGCTACAGCACAACTGCATCGACTGAAGCGAACTGTCTGCTATCCAACAAGGAAGTGCCTCAGAATTCTGTGGCAAGCAATGCCTGGACCATGTACACCCTGGACAACTGCCTGTAAACACCCAACTCAAACTGGAACCCTGGACCGAAACTTGGAATCTGACTGGAAGTGGACACGAGTAATGAAAACAAAACACTATTACTATTTATACTGTTATCAAGAGGATTAAAATAAAATGTGCATGCGCACGAATCAGCACATTTGTATTATCATTGCTGGAGCAGAAATACATTTTCAAATTCTGTTCGTTTTAACATTGAGATATAAGAGCCGGACAACTATCCATTGTAGGGAACCTGCACTCTCGCGGTAACCCGGAGTTGCCATGTCATTAACTCGACATTCAATTTGCAACAAATGCTTTCGTATTGCGGATCACTAATCTTTTCACAATCCGTCATACAACGTACGACATTAAAGTACAATGTTATGGCGAATGACGAGCTTTTCGTCATTCTCCGTTCGAATGTATTCTAAAGCTGTAATTTGAATGACGAAAACAATGAAACATTTCGTCATTCGAATGGATGTTAATGTATGTTGAATGACGAATAAAAATGGCAAATAACGATTAACATGCCAGCTGTCCACAGTCACTGTATAATTGTACAGAACTGTATAAGTAAGAACATCACTTCCAAAAGAAAATCACACCCTTAAGAATATATACAGTAAACTAACGAACTCAAAGGGACCAATATATTTTGTTCGTTATAACCGGAGTTCGTTATAAGCGTAAATGACCGGGACCGAACCCAATTCAAAACGGCACTAAACATATCAATACTTTCTGTTTAAACTATATATCCACATAAAGCACGAGCGACGTTTAACAAGCAGGACCCTGTTCCTGACCCGCGTGGTGTTAATATTTCACACTTACTGCAATATATACTACCCCAGAGACGGTTAACATAGCACTTAGCACTTTTTTCATAACGGCTCTCTGAGACAACAGAGTTGGTTGGTTTGTTTATTGTTTAACGCCGCACTCAGCAATAGTCTGTAAATAATCGAGTCCGGACCAGACGGTCCAGTTATTAATATCATGAGCATCGATCGACGCAATCGGGATCGATTACATGTATCAACCAAGTCAGCGAGCCTGACCACCCGGTCCGGTTAGTGGCCTCTTACTACAAGCACTGTCGCCTTTTACAGCCAGCATGGTTGCTGAAGATTAATTCTACTCCGGATCTTCACGGTTCTAAAACAACGGAGACCCTATTGTGTCACGACTACAGTTCAACCAATGAGAGGCTAGCTACTATCACAAGCACTCACCTGTTGGGGTCTCGTACTTACAACCTCTGTGTTGTAAACAAATATGACAGCTTACATGTCAATGTATGGCATTTATGATACATATATCCATTCTCAGACTACTAAGGTTCGTTATAAGACATCAATAGCGGTAATCGTATCTTGGTGGCTGTAAATAACAATGAGTTGGTGCGACAGTCGATTTTGACAAATTTATGTCAACAAGGATATTACAATACATAATCCAGATATACAAAGAATACTTATATATGAAACTGGTGTGAATTTAATCCCTATTTCAGTACCCGTCGGCATAATATTCTACCCAGAAGGCGGGATTTGTCTCTATATTATTCTACCAAGTAGGCGGGACCTGACCGTATGTCATTCTACCCAGACAAAGTTGGGGTCTCGAACTTACAACCTCTGTGTTGCATCATACTTTGTGTGAGTATCAAAACTGGTTTTCTGTATATATACCGATATGTTTCCAGACAGTGAGAGAAAGAATGCCGAAAAGGCAATTACAGAGAGGACAGGCATTCCACTATATCAACTGTTTTCAATGTTTTGAAAAATATCGAGAGTGGATATGAAATTGAGCCCAAGACGAAGTTGACTTTGGATGACATAAGGCGACTTGGTATATTGGCGTCAATAACAGTTCTTGTTTCTAAAGAAGCAAAATAAGAATTTGCATGCAGTGGCTGGGCAGAAAATATGAGGAATTCTATCACCACTCCTAATGCATGAAGAGCAAGAACGACGTTTGAATTGTTATTTGGAGCATAGAATTGTCAAATGGGACAATGTTATTTTCACACATGTACCCAAGGGCTTAGGAAAGAGTTGGGGTCATATATCCTATTAGACCTAACCTAAGTAATCGTAATGGGCCCCCAAGGGCTAAGGATAGAGTTGGGATTACATACCCTACCCTACCTGACCTAACCTTAGTTATCGTAATGGGCCCCCAAGGGCTAAGGATAGAGTTGGATCACATACCCTACCAGACCTAACCTTAGATATCGTAATGGGCCCCCAAGGGCTACGGATAGAGTTGGGGTCACCTATCCTACCAGACTTAACCTGAGGGCTCCCAAGGGCTAAGGTTAGAGTTGGGTGACATGCCCTACCAGACCTAACCTTAGTTATTGTAATGGACCCCCAAGGGCTAAGCTTGAGGATAGAGTTGGGATCACATATCCTACCAGACCTAAGCTTAGTTATCGTAATGGGCCCCCAAGGACTAAGGATAGAGTTGGGATCACATATCCTACCAGACCTAACCTTAGTTATCGTAATGGGCCCCCATGGGCTAAGGATAGAGTTGGGATCACATATCCTACCAGACCTAACCTTAGTTATCGTAATGGGCCCCCAAGGGCTATGGATAGAGTTGGGATCACATATCCTACCAGACCTAACCTTAGTTATCGTAATGGGCCCCCAAGGGCTAATGATAGAGTTGGGATCACATATCCTACCAGACCTAACCTTAGTTATCGTAATGGGCCCCCAAGGACTAAGGATAGAGTTGGGATCACATATCCTACCAGACCTTACCTTAGTTATCGAAATGGGCCCCCAAGGGCTATGGATAGAGTTGGGATCACATATCCTACCAGACCTAACCTTAGTTATCGTAATGGGCCCCCAAGGACTAAGGATAGAGTTGGGATCACATATCCTACCAGACCTAACCTTAGTTATCGTAATGGGCCCCCAAGGGCTATGGATAGAGTGGGATCACATATCCTACCAGACCTTACCTTAGTTATCGAAATGGGCCCCCAAGGGCTATGGATAGAGTTGGGATCACATATCCTACCAGACCTAACCTTAGTTATCGTAATGGGCCCCCAAGGACTAAGGATAGAGTTGGGATCACATATCCTACCAGACCTTACCTTAGTTATCGAAATGGGCCCCCAAGGGCTATGGATAGAGTTGGGATCACATATCCTACCAGACCTAACCTTAGTTATCGTAATGGGCCCCCAAGGACTAAGGATAGAGTTGGGATCACATATCCTACCAGACCTTACCTTAGTTAACCAAATGGGCCCCCAAGGGCTATGGATAGAGTTGGGATCACATATCCTACCAGACCTAACCTTAGTTATCGTAAAGGGTACCCACGGGCTAAGGATAGAATTGGAGTCACATATCCTACCTGACCTAACCTTAGACCACATATCCTACCAGACCTAACCTTAGTTATCGTAATGGGCTCCCAAGGGCTAAGGATAGAGTTGGAGTCACATACCCTACCAGAACTAAGCTTAGTTATCGTAATGGGCTCCCAGGCAATCTAGTGATTCTTATTATCAGCAAAGATCCATGCCCTCAGAGTATGACAACAACCTAGTCTGACCACCCGATTCATTAGTTGATTAGTGTTTGGATGTTGTTTTGTCGTTGTGTGTGTGTGTATGTATGAGTGTATTTAACTTAAATCATGAATCTTATACTTGTTTCTCTGTGCTTTTACAATGTAACCCAAATTTCCTTGGAAATAATAAAGTATTATCTTATTCATATCATTTCAAGTGTCATATTAAGGTTAGATATCTGTCAAAACAGTGCCATGGAAAAGCCAAACAAATAGCCTAGAAATAAAAGTAAATACTGCACTGCATTAATCTGCATTTCAAGAAAATTTAGCAATAATTCATGGAATGATATTGACTTGGTGAGGATCTTTCTGCATTGTCGAACAAGTTATTCCCTATGTAATGTATGTGTTGAATGACCCTGACTTTGTTGTCAAAATATTGTTTTGACATTTGTTAAATATGGGGATAAATGTTATCTCTGAATGTTTGACATTAATTATTATAATTAGGGCAATTCTAAGTCACAACTGGGGTCTTTTCATTTGAATCAAATGTACAACATGTACAGTTTGGACATTTCTGTGATGTGAATGCTTATGTTTGTAGAATGTCCGGATGAAAAACAAGAGGCAGTCATCTGTGCAGCATCAATGCAAAGAAAGACCATAGAAGAGAAGCAATGAGGAACAAGAGAAGAGCAACAGTGAGTGGAAAATATTTTGAAATTATTCTGTTTGGTTCATATGGATATTTTGCAAATATTTCTTCAGTTTGTTTCTTATCGCTGTGGGCATAGATGTCCTATTATCTAAGGCACTACAATTTGCTGTGCAGAGTTGCATCTCTTGGGCTTAGCAGAAACATATAGTCATGGGTTTAAATTCTGGTTCTCCCCGATTATGTTGCTAGGTTTGTAAGCGTTATACACATGCTCGTGGGATTCATCAAATACCCGCATCACTTAGGGCTTTCTTCCCACATCAAGCTAACAGGCGGTGATATATCTGGAATACTGTTCAAAGCAGTGTTAAACCCAACTCACTTATTTAACACTGCATCCAGCAACAGATTGGCTATATGACAAGGATTGTAAATATATATTTTCCTATGTTGATGAGTTGAAACAATCACTAAATGACATCTCTTAAAAAGATTCCCAGCAGTCTATGCTTGCCATACAAGCCTAATATATAGATCAGGTAGTGATCGAGTAGGCTCATTGATCGCATGTAATCATACCACAATGATGTGGGATATTGTCCATAACAGTTATCATCGGTTTGTCTGGACCGAGTTCATAACATTAATCACTGGTTTGTCTGGTTGAGATTTGAGATCTGATTATCTTAAATGTTTGGCAAATAACAAGACTCACATATGATAACTTTAGTGATTTTGCTGCCTTCTATCTGTAAGTACATGTGGCAACAATTCTTTTTGATTGCTAAAATTTGTGTACATAATGCTGCAGAAACTGAAGTCCTGCTTGAGAACCCTGGATGAGTACTCCAGGTGGACAATCTGGAAGGACCAGACAAGGGAGTCAGATATCAGAGGTGATTTGCAGACAGCGATGACGAGGGTCCTGTGTTTCAATGGAGGCCGACCGAGAAGTTGTATGCCAAATGGTACTGGGACACACAAAGCCTGGTCTGGCTAATGTGAGAAGACCAATCAATGCCAAGCTGGAGTGGGATCCTTCCAGGACATTCAAGAAATTCTTGTCATATGGTTAACACTTGAAAGGAATGATAAATGGGATTTATTGTCTTTCAATGTGGACCCAAACACCAAATGGAAAGTTCACAATTCTACTAACACAATGCAGCAGAGATAGTCCAACTGGCATACCCTCATCCTGGTTCCTGTTCATCCATGGCAATATAGAAAGAAAAGGAGGATTGAGGGAAAGTAAGTTCTCTGAACTGGTGAACATTATCCGTAGGTACTGACAAGCGAACAGTTATCACACTCTGTTATGAGTATTGAAGAATAGGATGAAATTGCAAACTGCATCAGGAACCATCATGTGAACACTGTTCAATGTGCGATGTACTATATATAGGCATATGAATAAAAGAAATTGATAATTTGATTGTTGCTTATGTTTCATTTGCCAGCTGTGTAAATGGGGATGTTTCATGATTTTGCCTCAGTTTAATAGCCACACTTATCTTATGAAACCATGCATTGCTTGGGCATCGCAGGAATTCTACCAAAGGACTGCATATTTGGTTTATGTGCTGGATAGCTCTTTGAAATGTTCTTGAAATATTTATCACTGATATTGAAGGTCAAATTCACACTCAAAAGTGATAACTCATGAAGGGTTGAAGTGTAAGATCAAGGCAATAGTGAAGGGGTCATTCATAAAGTGTTTCTGCAACTAAAACTAAAATGCCTATTTCTGGAGATATTTGTGAAGTATTAAGCACGTAGTTGTTATATTATTTGAATACACATATATGAGCAGTGGTTACAACTCCAGTGTCAAATTAACTCTCAAACTCTTTTAATAAAAGAATTCACAGTAACTGAGGAAGAGCTCACTGTAGTACCATAAAACTAGGGTGAGGCAAATTTCAATGAAGTTAGCATTTTTGATATAACAAGTACATGTACCGTTACTAATAGTCTTATTATCATCTCACTAGGACCAAAGGCCCAAGTGAGCACATTGTCAATGCCTTTTTCTTTTTCTCAGTACAAGCTGGAAGTCTGGACATGAAATTTATGGATATCATTATACGAGAACTGATGTTTGTTCATTAAATACCATTAACATTTGAAAAGAACAATATATGAAATTGAACAATTGTCTTCTCCAAAAATGTTTTTGGAGGATATTTACCATTAAAGGAACACAGAATATTACAACAGCTATCTGTTATGCACATGCTAACATTATTTACCAGAAAAAAAGACATAAAGAAAATTTGCATCCGGAAACCTACCAGATGCCTTCAGCAACCTTCAAATTTCTTGGTATTTTCAAGATAATTTTTTATGTGTTTCACACTTAAGTGAACAAAATGCACCCCCCAAAATTTTGACATTTTTTTGGGAACGTTTCCCGAAGGTATCCGGGCCGGATCGAAAATGGGTAGGTATCTGGAAGGTTTCCAGAAGACGGAAACCTACACTTGTTTTGCTGTGGTGATGTAACGTTTTACCCGCGGTGGACCAATATAAGTACTGCGAGACATAATACTCAGGTACTACCAGGTGGATTAGATGATGATGACGTTTACATAATACCTGATGGGTATTACAGTGTATGCTCACTCAATGATGAATTTTTTAAGCCTTTGGGATTTAGTCTCACACAAAATGACTCGAATGGGATGCTGATTTTAAACTCTGGAGAAAAGAGTTTAATGCTTGCCATGAACGTGGCAGATACACATGGACTTGTAAACTCCGGAGTAGGAATAATGACAATCATAAATCCCAACAAACACGACATGGAACTAAATTACCTGATTTAGTTCCCTATAAAGAGTTGTCCATCCATCTTGATGAGATCAGTACAACGGATGATATTCAACTAGAAAGTCCTTCAACTCTGCTGAGAGCTATTCCAATCAAAGATGAAAAATATAATAGCGGTAGAACCGAATCTTTCTCATCATTACAATATGAAAAATTAAAGCAGGGTATTATTTTAGATCTCAAAATTTCTGTATTAGATCCTGGATCACATAACCTTAGACAATGTAATACAATTGCGCTTTCCGTCCTTGGACACACAGAAGGATATGGTAAACCCAGTACCGATGGCAAGTTTTACGCTTTACACTTACAAGATAATGTATACAAGTGGAAAGAAGTTACATTCACAGGTAATCTAGGAGATTTAAGTGATGTCGACGTTAGTAGACTCCATAAAAACACTTCATACAATCTTACTCGCAACGGTGATAATAAATGGACTATGGTCGAAGAAAAAATCGAGTGACTATTGAATATCGTCATTACCCCACCATATGTGATGATGGGTAAGGCACATAATTTAACTGAGATAATAAATAGTGGGATCGTACTCGGGGCTTATATGCCATCAAAACAAAAAGAGTGTGTTAGTCTCTCCCCTTCCAGAAAACCCAGGTCATATGTTATTGAGTCGTCCGGCATAAAAAAATGTTAGTTTAAATTTGGTTACTGAATTCAATGATATAAAACAGGACTTGAGTGCAATACATAATCCTTCTACGCTTATTATTGAAGTCTTGTTTGGGGATGCATCAGAAGATGCCTTCGAGATATTACCAGGTCTATCAATTAAATGGTTAAAAAAACATGAGCGTCGACGTTGTAGTATTATTTATGTTGGAGCATCACACGTTTCAACCCTTTAGGGGGTCCAAATTATTAGAGGTGATAGCATTTCTCTTACTAAGATATTTATGCCGTATAATATACATTTAATAAGGTTGATACTCTCAAAACATTGAAGCAAGTCAAATTAAAGACTATTACTTGATACAATAATATGCACTATGGGTTTATATCCGGCACTCGATGAAGCATCTGAAAAGATGGATACTGTTGATGGATTTCGATTACATCAAATAAGCGACATAAAACATCAAATAGAGAAGGAGAGGGAGTTGAGACTTGGATTGTATAAAAAGTATCGCAGAGCCGTGAATGGTCTCAGTGGAGTTGACACTGCGCTTGTAACAGCTGGCATGTGACTCATTGTAGCCAGTGTTGGTTTATTATCAACTATAATTGCTACGCCTATTGTACTTGGTATGGAAGTAGCTGCTGGAGTCTCAGGACTGGCTGGAATAACGATAAAATTTATTTCTCGTAAGTTGCAAAAGAAAGCATTAAAACATGATAATATTAGGATACTCGCCTAAGGAAAGTTGAACAGCATTGAGGATCATATTTCAACAGCACTGGCTGATTGTAAGATATCCGAGGATTAGATTCGTTTAGTGCTGTCAGAACTCACCAAATACAACGTAATGAAGCAGGAGATTCGATCAAATTCTCGTAAGACCAGTGGTATTAGTGAAGACAAGAAAAAAGTTCATAGAACAGGGGAGACAACAAGCGTGTCAATTATTCCGTGCCAAAACCAAAGAACTGGTTGGAGATTACAAATAGATTGCTTGATCACATTTAAATGAATGCTTACATAACCAAATACGGTCATCAATTGTTCCTTTCCAATTTTGAAAAAGAGTAATAGTCTGCTCTCCTAGTAAAACACAAGAAAAAATACCCATATATACAAAATATACAATTTTGTATATTTGATATTTCCAAAATATATAATTTTGTATAGTTGGTATTTCCAAAACTCTACAATTTTGTATATATGGATAGATTTTACCACTGCTTCATTGAATTGTTTGAACTTGTAAGATTGTTTCTTGTGGTTTGAAACTAATGTTACCGAACAGTATTTTTGCACGTGACAATAATACGTTAATACTAATTTATTATGGCAACTATATTTGGAGTGTTATGAAATAATTTTTAGTTCTTTATGTTGACAGCATTTTACATAAGAAATAGAACATTTGCGCAGATTTTAGTAACAGATAATATAAATAATACCGCTGTCTTAATTAGATCGCGGTTTGAAAAAGCACTGTTTGTATAACGAAAGGCTGCTGCTGTTTTAATTAGGTCGGAGTTAGAAAAGCACTGTTTGTTTAACGAAAGGCTGCCGCTGTATAAACTTAATTGGGGTTAGAAAAGCACTGTTTGTACAACGAAAGGCTGCCGCTGTCTTAACTAAATCGGGGTTAGAAAAAACACTGTTTGTATAGTGAATGACAGAAGCTGTCTTAAATAAATCGGGGTTAGAAAAGCACTGGTTGTATTACGAGAGGATGTCGCTGTCTAAACTAGAATAACCACTAAACGGAATAGCAAGAGAGTAGCCTTTTAGCGATTGTCACGATCATTGCAAAATAATACATAAAAACCCCATGAATTTAAAATTGTACAAGGAAACATATATAGGAAACACATCGTTGGAACAAAAATCCTATTATATTACGTTCACGACATTAGTTCTGGAGTTTTCGAAGTAAAATTTAATATATATGTTTCTGTGATTTCATGTAATGGTGATTCTAAATATGAAATATTGGTTGATATTGTTTGTCAAACAGTTGTACACACCGTCCATTGTGATACTTCTACTTAAGGATGTTTGTTTAGTCAATTGGCATGCGTTCATTGTAAACAAGGATCATTAGTGTGAAAGGATTACTAAGTTTGTCATCCAGTATTATGCACTTCCACGATTAGCATAATTAGAACAGAGTTTGTAATTAGGTACATCCGGACTCCAGTTAATCAAGGCAGCTACATCAGTTGAGAGTGTGAGCAACTTGAGAAGAGGCGAGCAACTCAATGTGATTAATGAATTAGTGGAATTTTAATAAATAAACGAACGCCTGTCCCCAAAATACATTCGAACATTGAACACGCACAATCGCAGATTTCTATGGTACATTTGAGGGTGAACGTGAACGAAGCCGTGCAGGATGCCTAACAGCGATTTGTCTTCAGAACACACAGTGAGCTCAGGTGAGTTTATTAATGATGATATTTTTATTCATTCATATATATGGCGATCACGAGCGCTGACACTATATGTGTTCGCAATAGAACATTTGGAAGACTAGACACATATTGATTCACTATATGACTACATCAAATCCAGTATTTGTTTAATGCAACAGGTTTAAAGCATTCAAAATTGTGCATTATTATAAAATACAATGTGTGTCGCTTCGTCTCCCATGTAAAATACATTAATTATTTGTTTTAAATATAATTTAATATTACTATGAGTTTTACGTTATAACTTAAATTATGGAGTCTTGCATGTCGAGCCAACTAACTATTGTACATATTATACACATTGGAATTTCTGTTTACTGTGTTTGCGGTGGGGTCCAGACAATTCCCCAAAGGGACAATTCCAAATACTACTGCGTAAAATAATAATGCTGATTTGGAGAAAATTACCAAATGGATGAAAGT